TGGATATTTGCGTCGCCCACCAAACCCGACCACGGCCTTACAGCTCTGGCGAGTGTATTGGTGTCTGTCGTCTCTCTTGTCTCCATGTTCCCTCGACCCTCGCCGTCTGGTCTTTCGCATGAGCTCCTAGTGTTTCTTTACTGCGCATGCTCAAAATCACTTGGTCATTTGGCCTGTAAGCGATGTTCACTACTATCTAGATTCCCCTTTTGGGTGTGGAGCGTTCGTTCTACTGGTTGCAATCGGGGTGTTGTGGGCAGCAATCGCACTGGGACCTAATGAGTTTTTCGTCTCTCTCTCTGCGTCTGCGTCTCTCAAGTCGACTAACCCTCTTTGTGCCCATTTCTGTCCAGCCAACTAGCTAGGAAATACTGTGGCTAGTATCCGCTATGCCGCGACTCGGAAGTTACGCTCCACATGCGCAATTCATCGACGGCAACAGCATTTATGAGGCACAGCCGCTCCAACTGCCCCTCCCACTCCTTTGTATGGGGTAGCTCTAATGACATCTATAGTAACATCAAGAATATGGGCTTGTAAAAAGCAACTGTTTGTATTCCAGCTCCAAAATTCCATAGAGAAACTCATCCGGCAAAACGAAGAGTTACTGCGGAAGAATGCGTCGTTACAAAAACAGGGTCGAATGATCGTTGAAGAAAAAATGGAAATAATTCGAAGGTATGTTAGGGGTTGAAGAAGTAAATCTGTTTTCAAAGAACTGTTGGGAATGATTAACGTTATAAGTGATGATGTGGTAAGTGTATTAATGAGTAATAAGAAAGGCGAAAGTCATCTTGTTTGGCTGAGAATCGAGATGTGTCGCTCCATAGCTGTTGATTCCAGGTTGGAGAAGACAGAAGAGGCAAACATTCAGTTACGACGAATGCTTAGTGATACAGATCGGGTCTGTAAAGATTTACAACAAGCTAATCAGGTAGGCTCTTCTAAGCATTCCCAAAAATGAGCCCTATCAAAGGCCTAGTACACGCTGATGATCTGGGCGGAGACAGTCAGCCATTGACCCTGCCGGAGTGGGGCTCTTCTCTTGTTTGCCGTCTCGCAACGAGGGATGAACGAATGTTTTTTTTTTTCTGATACAGCAAACAAGAGAAGAGCCCCACTCCGGCAGGGTCAATGGCTGACTGTCTCCGCCCAGATCATCAGCGTGTACTAGGCCTTTGATAGGGCTCATTTTTGGGAATGCTTAGAAGAGCCTACCTGATTAGCTTGTTGTAAATCTTTACAGACCCGATCTGTATCACTAAGCATTC